ATTTTTTACTGAAGGCACAGAGGAGCAAGATAAAATGTATACAAATCTTTTAATTGGATTGTTTGCAACAAACAGCACTGCTGATGAATCTAAACCCAGTAAAGAAGGGTTTAAAAAGGGGCCAATTAACTTTTACAAGTCATAGACAGATACACAAGAGCCCTAATCTCTAAAAGCACTACTAGAGCAGTTAACAAAGACATAAATCGAACAGCAACTAGGCCTTTTGCCTGACAGCGCTTTGCACACCTGTCTTTGCCGTCTCAGATCTTTTATAAAGCTGTGAATGCACACTAATTTTCACTTCTGTCAGAGAAAATCATCTTTATTCCGAAAAAACTGGGAGTCTTTGTGATCCCCTCACATTTACACCTCTTCTGGGGAGTGACCTGCTGAGCAGCACACTGGCTGAGAGGGGAGGGGAGGGGAGAGGAGGGGAGAGGGTGGAATCAGTGACAAAAGCAATAGAAGATGAGTCAGCCAGAAGAAGAATATTAATTTAGATTAGACCTTTAAATTTAGATATAAAAGGTTAATGATCAAGTTTTACAACTGTTTTCCGTCAATCATTGTAGCCATTAGCTCATGTAATTGTGTATTTTAACAACATGCCCAACGTATGACAAATAGTTCATATGGACACGGCCTGTTTACTGTAGCCTCAGGTTTGTTTTTACCTGTAAAACCTTCAGTGTGGTTTCCCTGTTTTCAGAAGCCCAACTTCCACACATTGTTGATGTTGACAAAGCCAAACGGCTTCCATTGACCTGGTCTCATTTAACAGAGAACACATGGCTTTAATGATTACCCTGACCTCGACCTTGAAATGGCTCTTTACCTCTGCAAGGATTTAGTAAGTTAGACAGTGAATTCAGTATCTTGATTAGGTAACCGTCTGCACTGAGAAGGGAGCACTTCAAAGTGCTATATATCTAAATATAATTTTCCAAATGAAACACTAATGAACAGGAAATGCATTATTCTTTATTTTTTTTCCCATATTCCATTTATTTTCCAGGTTCTTATTTCATGGTGGATTGAGTATTCTTTGATATAATCAATAGGACATGATACAATAGAAAAAAATACAATACGATACTAAACGATATGATACGTTAAGATATGTTACAATACCTCAAAATCCCATATGATCCCATATGATACAAAGCAATACAATACTGTACAATTCCTCTCAGGGAAATTTGTTGTCTTGCTATAAGCTCAGCAGTTTTTCTAAATGGAGTGTGGAGGCAAGGAGTGCCATCTGTAATGTCAAGTGGAAAAAACTAAAACACTAGTAAATATGCTTTTATTTATGGTTGAATAAAAACTGGATGTAAAATCAGCTTTGTTTTTTAAGCATATGTTGAATATAGTTAGATTATTTTATATTGTTTGTTTTATGTATTTCAATACCAAATCTGATCTTAAAAATCAATTATTAAAATGAAATTTTAATTCTAAGATTTTTAAATCGAAAATATACAGTATCTTACAGATCATTTGCTTGAGCTGAATACTGTTCACATCACAGTCATGCCTCCTATGTTAACAAATTCAACTTGACAGTTTTGATCTTACCAGGGATCTTTTTAGCCCAGCTGATCATGAGGACCAGTTCTTTGTCAGCCAGGTTTGTGAGGGACATCATCATGCTGGCCTCGGTGAAGGGCTTCTTTAAGTCCTCCATGAGGTAGATCTCCGGAGGCTCTGCCTCCATGATGCGAGAGATGAATTCCTCTGGGCTCATGGCTGCATGGTGTACATAGTTCACCTGAGGGATGGGGCCGACTTGGGCTAGGGGACCCTCTAGGTGGAGATGCCGCTGGGCCCGTGAACCCGGCCCCACCCTGACTAAACCTCTGCCTGCGGTATCCCGAATCTGGAGGCCACCACGGCGGTGTCGGGTTCCTCGATAACTGCAGCGTTCGCGCCTTACACCTTTTTATAAAAAGACAGGGAAAGTAATGGACAATCAAATGACTCATGATGTCCCTTTGTACCTCATGTGAGATGACATGATGAAATGTTAGTCAAGTAGACATTGCTTTACCTAACAGTCATCCCAAGGAAAGTATCCTATTTTTACAAATAGGGGATACATATTTTTCTGGAAATCTCTGTTGACAAAATTGCTGCATGATTTCAAGGGCAGAGTGCCACTACCTGGAATCATCTACAGAAATCTACAATGAAGAAAATCAAAGATTTTGACTGCTGTCCAGACTCAAATCTGGACATTAAGACTCTTTACAGGAAAAGAGATATATTTAATTTGAATTGCATTATTGATCTGTGCGATGCTTGTCTTTAAAATAAAGCATAAAACCAAACTTTCAATGAATATAAAGATGAAGAAAGATATAATATAATCTCTCTTCTATTCTGCAAAGTTTTGAAAGACTTGGTGACTGCATTGAATACCCTGAAATTGGTTTACTCTTAACCATTAAAAGAACAGTTTGACATTTTGGGAAATAAAGCAATTCACTTTCTTTCTGAGAGTTTGACAAGAAGATTGATACCTCACATGCAGTATATGTCCTTTAATATGAAAATACACCAAAGGGGGGGGGTAAGCTTTGCTCAGCATGAAGACTGGAGGCTGAAAAGAACAAAATTGCCTCCCCCTGCTTAACTTCATGCTTAGATCATGCCACTGAAATAGATCTTAAATTTGAGTGTTTTTCTGAAAGAAAAGGTTAGCCGAAATATCCTGATCAATTGTTTTAAATTGGCATTATGGTGAGTCAGATTCTGTGTGTTTTCAGAGGTCTCAAAATCATAGTTATAATGGGCTCACAGGTAGAACTCTTTGGGCTTTTCTCTTTAACTGCTTGAACTTTGGTGGTGCTGTAGCATGACAAAATATCAAGCACTTACCACATTTCATCATGCCCACTTCGTAGCATTTACGTAGGCGGCAGGCCTGGCAGCTTTTACGCCGGTTCTTGTCAATAGTGCATTGATTTGTTGCGGGGCAGATGTAGTCATTGTGCCCTAAAAAGTAAAGTTCAGACATAAAGTGGAATTATTTCCTTATTGAAAAAGGAGGAGTAAAGGTTGATTTAAAATGAATAGAAAGACAGAGTTGACACCTTGGATACTCCTCTTGAAAAAAGCCTTGCAGCCCTCACAGGACCACACGCCGTAGTGATACCCCGAGGCGTAGTCGTGACACACAGCACAGAAGTGCATGTCGGTTTTCCCTACTGCAGATGAACACGAGGAGGAGTTCACACCATCCACTCTCTCCTCTGATCTCTTCCCCAGCGGCTTGTTACAGCCGAGGATGGAGCTGCAGGAAGAACCAAAGACTCTGTGAAAGAGGAACAACTTGACATTTGGAATTTTTTCCCATCATTTGGCTATTATTACTCTGAAAGTAGCTGCATTTCTGTCAACAGGAAAATAGCATCCGAAAACCTCATCATTGAGATGTAATGGGTATATATCTCCAGCATTCATCGCAAGTGCCATTATGAAAACCATCTGATACCACACAGTACATTTATATGATACACTTCAACAAAAAATGAAGAGCAGCTGTAGATTTTCTGTGTTAAGATCAAATCTATCTACTAAAATCACATGCATGAGTGAATTAATAATCCTCCATTTTTAAGTTTAAGAAGGACTTCATTATTTAGTGCCACCATGCTGTCTTTCCTAATATGCAATGAACATTTTAGATGTATCCCTTTGACTACATAGAATAAATAGGTTCAACACCAAAGCTTTTACTTTGAGGATCTCACAGTGATGTAGGAGACTACTCGAAGTGTTGCCAGTACACATCACAAATAGGAGTCGTTCTAAGTGTAACAGACTTTAGACTTTTGTGTTAATAAGTATAATAGGACACATTTTCCTGTCCCATAAATGACAATATAAAGAATAGTCCACTAATCTCTATGCAAGAAAACACTAAACAGTTAAAATTGAGCCATTTATTCAAAAATGCTAAACACTGTGCAAAACCATATTGACTGTAGCCTATTTAATTGCTTTTTTTTTAACTGTTCATCACATTCTTCAATGACAGAATGAATGGCTATTCTAAATGCAGCTGAAATGTGTGGCCCTTTGTGACTTGTACTAGTAACAATGTCAAATTGGTTAGAGTTGTTATAGGCCATTTTAACCTGACATAGACCAAATATGAGATGCTGTCAACTGTGCTGGTTAACAGCCAAGTGGTGGATTGGGGAGAGAAGGCCCATATCAGTTTTTTACTTTACAATTTCTATCCATGCATCAGTGTCTGTAAACCTACCTGCTGCCGTTGAAGCTGTGCGATTTGGGCTCCAGCCAGGGGGCCTGTAAGCCGGGTTCATTATAGACGATAGGCTGTGGGCAGCGCAGGGTCAGTGAGGGCATGTTGGGGTGGCTGTGGGGAGGCCAGAAGGCTGATGGACTAAGGGGGGTGCACAGAGATGATGGACTTTCAGTGACGGGCGGCCTGGCATAGGTCAGCACAGATGGGCTGTAGAAGGTCAGTGGTCCATGTCCGTGGTTGTACTCGTGGCTATTGTCCGTGTATGGAGAGGGGATGTAGACCGTGTGGCTGTCCATGCCCCGAGGAGAGGTGTACACTGCGGGCAAGAGACCTGGGGAGCCAGCCCTCTCTGAGGCTTTGCCGGAGTCGACCTCCTGGAGCTGAAGCAGAGGTAACGTGTCAGTGTCTAGCCCTGGGGAGGAGGCCATGTCAGACGAAATCTACTGCGTAAGGTGACAAGGATGAAGAATACGATGATGCAGCTGGTTCCTTTAATGCATATTCTGATGTAGAACAGTCCTGTGAAGGAGAAATACTGGAATGTTTAAATCATCAAAGTCAAATAAAAAGTACCGTAGTCACAAAATCAGATCCATCTAAGGCAAATTTGATTTCAAAGTTATTATTCAACAGATAAATCAAAATTGAATTTGGTTGAAAAGTCAAAGTTTTGGCGTTGTCTAAAGGAATGTTCAAATTGATTGCCATAAGTCTAATGAATAACAAAGAACCACAATCAATCAATCAATCAATCAATCTGTATTTGAAAAGCGCCAATTCATAACAAATTGTATCTCAGGACACCTCACAAAAGAGCAGGTAAAAGACCTTACTCATTGCTATATTACAAAAACACAGCGTTAATCTACCAGTGTTGTTTTTTTTTTAACCCCAAAGGACATTCAGGATAACTGCATAGAAAAACCAAAGATAATGGTATGCTATGTTCAGAGAGCAAATCAAGAGCCTGCTGCTGCACGTGCAGACAAAACGACACCTGTCAATGATTGAATGGAACTTCAGGAAACACACCTCACTGCAGGAACTATTCCAGAAAAGTTCCTAGAAGGTGAAGAGTTTTACCTGCTCTTAGGCCAGGTGAACTGGAAGTAAAGCTCTAGTTTTGTAACTCCTGCCCCTAAAGGAGCTGGGGAAAAGCTTTGGTTGGTATTATTGCCATGTACAGTGTTCAATCAAATATCAGCCACGGGATTGCTAAAACTCAATTACACTGCAGAAGCACAGCAATACATTCCATTCATTATACTTGTATTTGTCATATCATTAATTTTTTGTCTTTTTGAGTCTTTGCTAAAACCACTATCAATACTTTTCTATTATTTGGTGGAAAGAGGAGATGCCAATATGCTTTTAACAGAACAGAGAGACAATATGTGCAAATTTCTAAGTAGTTCCGGTGAAGCCAGCGGTTAGGTTTAAACAACTTTTAGGTAAGATCTCCTTTTCTTTGCAGTGTTTTATGGCTACAAAATATTGGTCAATAGCCACAGATCATCTGTTGAGTCTCAGATCAATAGTTCGAGTTTTACAGGTTTAGTTCAGCAGTGTGAGCCCGGAAGAGAAACCAATTTTCTTGTTATTTAATCTGAATTAACAGGAAATAATTAAGACACAAAAACAACAATTAAAATATGAGCGATAGTCTCTTTTTCAAACACTTATTAAAACGTTTCAATTTGAAGTATGTTTGTGTAACTCAAGTTGCTACTATACTTTCCATCCACAGAGCATTTTGTTGGATGCAATGGTGGGATTTGTAGTTTTTAGCAAAGGAGCTGGTTTCACCATAAGCTATCAGGAAAAGCTTTTAAAAAATATCTGAAATATGAAATTGCTTACTGAAGTTAAGATAGCCAACGACACTAGGCAGAACATTGATGGTGAGTAAGCGTAAAGTCATGAGGGTGTCACCTTCCCAATCCAGAAATGGAAGGCATGTAACACAGATATCAGAAATCAAAACCAGCAAGAAAACACTAAAAAAACACATGGGTTAAATTAAGATTGAAGAAGTAAAAACCATATCACATAACTAGAAGATAGATGACCAGACAACAACGGCTTTTAAAAACTTGTGATTTTAGTAGATTCTGAAAGTCAATCAACACAGGAAAAAAAAACTGCTCTCGGACGTAACGATGGCAGTTTGGAACCAAACACTTTGTTGGTTTTTCTACAGTTTTTATTTGCTGTAATGTGAATCTAGAATGGACAGGTGACACTTTGCCAAACAGTCTTATGGTCAGTGGCTTTAACTGTCAATATGTTTCCCACACATGTCAGGTCAGAGTGGCCTTCAGGACAACAATGCATTCTTATCTGTTCAACCCAAACACAGGGTGCAAATACAGCCACTGTACACTGTATTTTAGGGACCTGATTTTACGTCATCATTTCTTGGCTGAAAACATTAACAGGTCAACATGATCTCACCACATTAGCTGAACAATCTTCTTGAACTGAACTACAGCCGAGTTGTTGAAGTTGCTATTTAAGTCAAATAATTTAACCTGACAATGTTCAGTAACTTATCACATTTTGCCTGTTGTCCATTGTGTTGATGCTAAACACCAAAGCTTGTACTGTAAACTCAGGTTACACGGAACCGCCCGGCCTACTGGGAGCTTGTATAATCTAGATGACCAACTACTGGTTTTGATAAATGTGATGGAGCTTTCCCACTTGTATTAACTTCTGAAAATGCCCTGATATTTTTAGGGGTAAGCTGCATATGTAAAGACAAAGAGGCAAAATGTTCCAGTCTTTACTCTATTCTAAATTTCACGTTATTACACATTTTCCTGCCAGCCTCTTGGTAACTTTTCCACATGAAGCTGGGGTGAGCGAATGTGACAACGAGGTAGAAAATATTCAGGAAAATTCATCGCAAGCAAGAGGGAGGGGGTGTTGATTTTTATATCCTGCAACCAACAAATTATCATAGAATGTTTGCACGACAACCATGTGATCTCCATATATGTAATGAAACTGCTTCATTATGCTTTCTGCTCACCAGTAAGTTCTTCTCCGCTAGTTTGCTTTGGATTCCATCGCTTTGTCTGACACTTTTACGGTTCTAGTCAATAACCATGCAACCATCCAAGTAGCTGTAGAACAACCACAATGGCTGATGTTGGAGTATTTTGACTGGCATGTCTCCCAGTCAGCACTGCTTTGCAATAACAGTAAGAGCCAATTGGAGCAGCAACCCCACCATATCTTCTGTCCACAAAAACATTAATTGTTAGCATTTTTTTTATTTTTATGTTTGCACCTCACTGTCAGTATAAGAAAGAGTATGTGTGCATGCATGTGTTGTTTCAATTCATAGTTACACCGCCAACTTCTGGCATGGCATGTATACTACAGCGTTTTTTTTAGTCCTCTTACGGTCCTTACGGTGATTGCTGCCCATAAACAGAAGTTGTTGTTTTTTTTAAACTAGCAAAAAATAATTTAGTTTCTGTGTACATATGGCCTAAAAACATCTGAAATGTGTGAAAGCATGACCATTATAGCCAGGGTGGTTTAAGTAACCTGAGGTGGTGGTGTGGATAACCAAACAAATAAAAAACATTTTGTATGCAGAAATTAGCCTGATTTAAATTTTTTTTTTTTTTTTACAGACTTGGTCCAACTCTAGATCCATTCCTCCAATAACTCAATGCTGGTCCTTTTTTGAAGATTGTTAAAGAAGGAAAATTACAGGCATTAAAATTAATACCAAACAACATCTATCAAAGCAATTTAATGAAGACAGTATGCTTTGTTCACTAGTTCAATAACAATAAGCCTCCTTTTCTTTTGGTTAGGCTTATTTTCCAGTTTGAATTTGCTCCATTACACATATTACATCAATCAGCCTTTGACTTGCAGAGAACATTTTCAGTGATGCAGAAGTATTTAAAAAAAACACTCAAAATTGACTGGAGAGAAACTTTGAGTTATTACACCAGCTTGATATCATTACAAATAAAGTATTTGAAAATCAAAATGGGGAACTTCCCTGCAAGATGTTTGAACCCAATTGACCCGGCAGGCTACCTAGTGCAGTTTGTTTGAGCTACAAATTGTACTTCTTAGTATTTTGTAAGCCCAAGTTCAAGGTCAAGATCAAGAGAGGGACAACCCTGGACCCTTTACTTAGTTAACCAGTAGTCCTGTGAGACAGAAGTTAACTTTGATAGCAGTTGATCATTTAATTGAGTTATTACTTAACGTAAGTTAACGTGTAAGGTAAAAAAACAACAAAAACATCCATGTCTTTTGCCACGTCAATTGATTTGACTTCTTGGAAGGGCATGATGACTCGGAAAACTCAAAATTACACAGTTGCCTCAATGAAATACAACAAATATTAAAAACCTTTTGATCGCTCACCACCAAATTAATTTGAGAGGCGCTCTGGAAGTACTGTTGCACAAGTCGCAATTCACAACAAAAGCACGGGATGCAGAGACGGGCTTTTTGGCTTGCTATTCAATAAGCTCTGTTAAGTAGACGAGGCGGTTTGCTCTTGCTCAGGTTGTCCACAATCCTTACAATTTGAGAGCAAGGTCTGTATATTTATGGAAACCAAATTTACCAGAAGTTAAATGTTTCGATCAATCATTTCAAATTAACGCCCACATTAAAGTTAATTAAAAAAAAATGAATGCAGATAAATATTGCATGAACTGCTCCATCTGTGCTTGCTCCAATTGTGTGCGACATGTTGTATGTCTCTTTTCCTTTTGCTTAGGCCTGCTGTAATTATAAATGTAATGTAATTTATTGTATTTTAATTTTTAACTAATGCATTTTAGGTTGCCTACTGACAACTTGCCAGGGACTACAGCTGGAAATCAGCCGCAAAGGCTAAAGCTGCTCCTTTTACTGTACAGTTAATTAAAGGGGACTGTCCACCAAACAATAAACAAATAAACTAAAATAAACTAATAAGCAATGCAAACGTGTGCCCAGCTCTGAAAACAATCCACCAAGATATGAGAAAAAAAATGTTAGTCAAATGCTGGAATCAATAAATCAGGGCTACTTATAGGCGCCTACAGAGTGGAGGAATTATATTGCAATAGCTCAGAATGATTTCACACGTGCATTAAATTCCCCTCAAAATTCCCAAATGTTCAGAATAAGCTGCATGTGTGAACACAAACTG